GTCTTTTCCAACCTAAATGATTCTATGATTCTGTGATTCTCTATGTCTAGTGTAACTAGAGCACTGTTACTGATGCATAATTTAATTTTCTAAGCTTGAACATGATGTGACACCATCTTGAAAGCAAGTTGATTCCCTAGGAAAATGAGAAATCTATCTCTTTTAACTCAATGAAAAAAAACCAAACAAAAACTTAGAAACAGCCAGCCAAAAAAACGTAAAAAGATGTCTCATTCCTCTAAGGCATTTAGAATTATAAAGATAACTACACTTTCCATGTTAGGTATGCAGGAGATTACTCCATTAAAAAAAGCAATAATTTGTATTCATAATGTTAGTGAAAGAACGATTGTGCCCAGGACAAGTTAGACAGCTAATTCGTTTTATATTTAAGCGATATGGAAAACATTCCCAGTATAACACTTGTGGCCTGTAGCCTGTTTCTGCATGGGTTTTATTTCTTTATTATTTATTAACATATGTTTGAATGTATGATTGTATAAGGGTTTGTTGGCACCTGGGAGCTGTTGTAGTGATGGACACTTGTATCTTATGAGTTAAGCGATAGCTGAGTTTTTTGTTTAAGCTAACTCAGACTCATTTTTCAGCAACGGATATGTAATCATCTACATTGCTAAATAAATAGGGTCTAGACCTTCATAATACTATAACTGCCTTTGTCCATACTCTTTGACTACAAACTTACATGGCTCCAGTTTAAACTTTTTCCAAGACAAAACTAGGTGTGTCAAAGAAAAAAATCTGGTCATTTGTCTGGAATAATTCCCTCACCAAAGTCCCAAAACAAAGTGGGATATCATCAGAATTTTAGAATCATAGATCCTTCTGCCCTGAACAATTCCCGCAGTCTGCATTCACAAACCAAGGTATGTGCCACATACCTGTTTCATGCTGTAAACATGCTACAGTGGTAGCCTGAATCACAGCCCTCATCTTAATTTCACACATTTCAAGCAGACAAAAATGTCTCTAAAATAGTAATGTCTTGGAGTAAGGGGAAGCAGATGTCATCCAGAGGCCACATCTGGACTGCTGACTGAACAGTGCCAGGGCATAGGTCATAGATGTTAGTACTTGATCACCTAGACCATTATGCTCTTAGAATTGTCCCCAGAATGGTTTTCACCCATCCCAACTAGCACTCCATCAAACAGTGCACAAATACTTTGCAAGTTGGTCATGTGCTGGAGAACATTCTCAACAGCCACTTTGGATGCAGCCACCCTGTTTTGGAGAGTGAGTTTAACAGTATATATGTGGACAGAAGGAATTCTAGGTCCAAATGTTGTAGGGCAAGGTGACAAGGACAATCTATTCTAGAAGAAGCTGGCACTAAGCAAAATGGACACAACTGAAGCCCACAAATTAGCCTTGAATTCAGGAACTGTGTCTTGGTCTCCTTTTATGAGGAAGCATGATTATAGCCAAAGTGTCTGTCTCAAACTCGCTATACTGAAAGCTTATGCCACACACATAAGCATACTTTCTGACTTCAGAAAATTTTAATTTCTACAATAAAAGTTGGAGTTTTCTCAATGTTTTGCTATTGTTATTCCTTTGTTCAAGATTTTGTTCTTCATCTGAGAGGTGTGCCTGTGATGAAAACCCTATGTAAGAAGATACAGACTTCAACCTATGGAATTATTTACACATATTTTGAAAAGAAAACCCAAACCATAGTTTTAAGAAAAATTCAGTCTAGGTGTATAACTAAAAAATGGAGAACAAAGGATAATATTGCTATGAACCACAATTTTGACACAGAGGGATTTAGGAGAGATACAATTTTATGTCAAAATATATAATAAATTGTTGATACTGAGACCATACTTCCTTGACCATCTTGGGTAGAATTTCCTGTAGCAGCCACTTTATCTAATAAGGCAGTTGACTGGTTCATCAGACCTATGAGGACATACCTGAGAGGTCTGTGTTGCAGCATCATCTTTATCTTCTAAAGTGGCAACCAATACTTGCATAAGAATTTAAAGGATAAGGAAAATGATGAGGTGTCCTTTCTATTCTTGACAAGCACAGAGGGCCAGGTGCCGTTTAGTCTTTTCTGTGGTTATATGTATTTCAAATATATTTCTTAAGACACTTGAATATGCTTCTCTTCATGCTTGCTGTTATCTAATTTTTGTTATTAGAAGTCATTACTAGCAGAGAAGTTGAACAATAAAATACAATGTGTAGAAAATGTTATTTATGTCAAAAAGACAACAAATTTGTTGAATTGACAAAAAACGTCAGGGGTGCTTCCTATGTTGACAATTCTCTTATTTATATCACATTCTATGTTTAGGTCTGTATAGGTCTGAGATAAGAAGTAGGCTAAAAAGACATGTTATTTTCATCTTTGGTCCTCGTGCTGGAAGAAAAGTGATTAATTATAATAGAAACAATGCAGTTAGTAGTCATATTTGCAAGAGACTATCTTCACCAGCACTACATTTGCACATAATGTCTCTGCCAATAATTCTGCTCTGTTGTGTGTTAACAGGAAATAATCCTGGCTATTGTGATGATCCAGGAGTACCAGCTCATGGGTCTAGGCTAGGGGATGAGTTCAAAATAAAAAGTCTGCTACGTTTCTCATGTGAAATGGGTTATCAGCTGAGAGGATCTGCAGAACGAACATGCCTGCTTAATGGTTCCTGGTCAGGTATACAGCCTGTGTGTGAAGGTAGGTATTGATACCATCAGCATTTATGACACCATTGGATGACATTTACTAATGACATTCTATTCTTTAATTAAAAAGAAATTCTATGCCAAAAATACGCCTTCATATTGCTCTGCAGAAATTTGATACAAAAGAGTTTGCAAGCAGTTCATGTTTTGCTTGAAAACCTAAATCCAAACTGATAAAGTTTTGGAATATATATTTGTAAGAAGATTGTGAGAAAATAATTTTATTTAAACAAATATTGAGCCTGAAAATAGCTAATAGATACCTGAGATAAATGTAAAATTAAACAAGTGTTTCTGATTGAAGATATGAAAATGGGGTGATAAATAAGTCCATCTTCTAACAATAGAATATTTTAATCTTCTCTTTCTATGTAATGTCTATGCATCAAGGACTGAACAGATGATAAAATAATGTTGCATTCTTAACTAAGTATAAATTAATGTATATTGCTCTACAAAAGACCAATTTTTCATGAGATATACTATTTTTATGCTAGCTCTTTCAGAAGAAATGCAACAGAGAATACTTCTGGAAATCACATTTAAGAATAAGATAAAAACATTTGTTTACACTTTTTATGCACTGTCAGAATTGGAAAGCATAATGAAAGACTTTAGATTCAGTTTTAAAATGAATTCTTATTTTCCAAGAATTTTTGAAGTTACTTTATCTAATTCATTGGAGTTGATGGATTCTGTAGTAGCTGTTGTCTGCTATACTAAATGATAAAATGGAAGATAAGACAAAATATTTTTAACAAATTTGTTATATTTTTTCACCTAGGGATTTTATCACAGTATCCTCATCTAACAATTGTTCTTTTGCAGTATTCTTCAGCACAGACTAATCTTCTGTCAGTGTAGATACCACCATACTGTATGAAAATGGCAGTGGGCACAGGATCAGTATTTCCAGCAGAAAATTGAAGTTTTGTAATGTCCTTTCTTCTTCCCTTGCATGAAGACATTACATATAGGACAGCAGTACTCACTGGCAGTTTACGGTGTTTGAAATGCTGATGTTTTTTCTTTCTTTATCTTTTTGCTTCAACCTTCTGTTTTCAGAAAAAAAAAAACCCACAAGCAAACAACGAAAAAAGCCCATTTCTTTCCATTTTTCTCTTCTCTTTCAATATTTTCCTGTTTAGTATAAATAAGGATGATATTAGGAGGAGAATGCCTTTTCACCCCTACAAGTCCAAGTTCCAACCTACTGAATTTTTCTCTTCAGTATTTGAAACTTTTATACACAAAAAGTGAATAAGACTTCATTAAAACAGAGGCATTTAGGTATTATTCCAAACATCAATAATACTCAGAGTAATTTTTAATTGACAAACTGTGTTTATTTTAATAAGTCCTATAATCTAGAATTATTAGATTATAACTAAAGTTCTAACTATTATGCTGGGGGCCATCTAGCTGGGGGTCCTGGTGGACAAGTTGAACATAATCAGCAATTTCCCCTTGCTGCAAAGAAGGTTAATGGTATCCTGGGCTGCCTTAGGAGGGAAGTGATCCTTCTCCTCTGCTCAGCACTGATGAAGCAGCATGTGGAGTGCTGGGTCCAGTTCTGTGCTCCTCAATACAAGAAATACATGGACTTACTGGATAGAGTCCAGCAAAGGGCCGTTAAGATAATGAAGGGACTAAAGCATCTCTCCTCTGAGGAAAGGTTGAATGATCTGGGACTGTCCAGACTAGGGAAGAAAAGGCTCAGGGGGATCTTATCAGCATATATAAAAATCTGAAGGCAGGGTGCACAGAAGATGGAGCCAGGCTCTTTTCAGTGGCGCAGAGTGAAAGGACAAGAGGCAATGGCACCAAGTGAACCACAGGACATCTGCCTGAACATCATAGAATCATAGAATGCTTTGGGTTGGAAGGGACCTTTAGAGTTCATCCAACCCAACCCCCCTGCAGTGAGCAGGGACATCTTTAACCAGATCAGGTTGCTCAGAGCCCCATCCAACCTGACCTGGAATGTTTCCAGGGTTGGGGCCTCCACTACCTCTCTGGGCAACCTGTGCCAGTGCTTCACCACCCTCATTGTAAAAAATTCCTGTGAGGGTGCCTGAGCAGAGAGGTGGTGGAGTTTGCATCCTTGTAGACAGTCAAAAGCCATCTGGATATGGTTCTGGACAACTGGCTCTTGGTGTCTCTGCTTGACCAGATTACCTCCAGAGGTCCCTTCCAATGCAACTATTCTGTGATTCTTTGATTCTGTGATTTGCATAAATGCTCTCGGAATGTGATAAATTGAGTTAAGCAAGTAAGTATTATAAGTAGTATAAGAATTATTTTATAGTCAGCTACTGTCAAATTATCATTTTGTCAAAAGATAAGCATCTGCAGACTTGTTGTCTTTGCATAAACTTCATAAATACACTTAGCCTTAATAAATGCATCCAAGCTTTCCTAATGCAGCTCAGTGTTGTACCTTGACCAGTATGTGCACATGGTCTTTAATTTGCTTTATTAGTGTTAGCATCGTAGAATGGTTTGTGTTGGAAGGAGCCTCTAAAAATCATCTAGTCCAACCCCACTGCCATGGGCAGGGACACCTTCCAGTAGATTAGGTTGCTCAAAGCCCCACCCCGCCTGACCTTGAACATTTCCAGGGATGGGACATCCACAGTTTTGCTGGGCAACCTGTTCCAGTGTCTTGCCACACCTTTGGTAAATAATTTCTTTGTTATGTCCAATCCAAATCTCCCCTCTTTCGGTTTAAAACCATTACCCCTTGTCCTATCACAACAGGCCCTGGCAAAAAGTCTGTCCCCATCTTTCTTATAAGTCCCCTTTAAGTACTGAAAGGCTCCAATAAGGTGTCCCAGGAGCCTTCTCTTCTCCAGGCTGAACAACCCCAACTGTCTCAGCCTTTCCTCATAGGAGAGGTGTTCCATTCCCCTCATTATTTTCGTGGCCCTCTTCTGGACCTGCTCCAACAAGTCCATGTCTTCCTTGTGCTGAGGGCTCCAGAGCTGGATGCAGTACTCCAGGTGCAGTCTTACAAGAGTGGAGTAGAGGGGGAGAATCCCCTCCCATGACCTGCTGACCATGTTTCTTTTTATGCAGCTCAGTGTATGATTATGGCTGGAATTCCTCCAGTTCTCTAAGGAGGAAGGAGCAGCAGAGACAAAACTGCTGTGTAGTGACCGTAGCTCCTCATTCTCTGTCCCCTCTGCACCACTTGTGTGGCAGGTAGAGGAGCCTGAAGTAAAGGAATGAAGTTAACACTGGAAAAGAGGGGAGGAAAGGTGTTGGTTTAATGTTTGACTTTTTGTCCCTATCCAAATCAATTTTAATAGGTAGTGAATTAAAGGAATTGTCCCCAAGTTGAGTCTGATTTGCCCACAATGGTAACTGGCAAGCAATTCCCCTGTCTTTATCTTGACCCATGAGCTTTGTCATCCTTCCCGCTGAGGAGGGGACAGTGAGCAAGCAGCTGGGCGGGCATCTGGCTGTTAGCCAAGGCTAATCCACCACAGTATTCCAAGCCATTAAGTTTTATCATAGTTATATTTGATCATATCATTGTACTAGACTAAATCATTTCACTTCACAAAAGACCACACTTATTTGTGCTGTAGGAAGCATAGAAAGTGTTGCCAGCTCTTGAAAGCTCTGCAAGAGACAGTTGAAATACATCCTCCCAGTCTTACAAACTGCTTCATGCTCCATGGAAGGTTGAAGAAAAGAGTTTGATTTAGTGGCACCTTTCTTCCTAACCCTTGATTAACCCTGTTAGTCTCTTAACCCCATGACAGCTTTATTTTATTCCTATGAAAAAGAATAGTCTCTGCCCAGCAGTGGAATTTTATCATACTTCTGCCAGTATCCTGACTGCTGGGATGGTCCAACAAAGGCGCTTTAGAGGAAAGTTGGTAGAAAAACTCAAAACAAACTAATCCTTCTCATGATTGGCTGGTCCATTAGGGGGAGGGAAAAAAAAAAACCCACCAAACAAAAAAACCCACTAGACTCTCCCCAAAAAACAACATATAATCAAAGTAAACCACTGTCAAATCTTGGATGTATGAAGATGAAACATAATCATTGCCTTAATGTATAACTACAGATGCCAAAAAGATATGGAGGACAATACAGAATGTCTGTTCTTTTCTTGAGTCAAAAAAGAAATGGACAGGAAGATTATAATTTATTATTTATACATTTTTACAATTGAAAAAGGAGATACCAGAAGACAGGAAGAGAATAGAAAAATGTGCCCAAAGACAAAACAGAGGCACAGTTCTGTCAGAAAGTCCTGAATGATCTTTCTTCTCTACAGTGACTGCACTGGATAGAGTGGAACATTTACAAGCAGTGTAAACTATCTGAATCAGCTATTGGAAAAACAGAATAAAACAAATGCAAATAAAGTGATCATATTAACAAAGAGAAATAAGATATTAACTCAAAAATATACCTATGAAACGCTTTCTTAGTAAAACTTGCTATAGCTTTTTTAAAAGATGGGTTATTGACCTACTTTTTTTTTTTTTTCCAGTTAGTCACCTATCATGGAAATACTGATTTTTTTTTAACCTTTTCTTCACAGCTGTATCTTGTGGAAACCCTGGGACCCCAGCCAATGGTATGATAATATACACTGATGGAATATTATTCTCCAGCTCAGTCATTTATGCCTGCTGGGAAGGTTACAAAACTTCAGGGCTAACTACTAGACATTGTACTGCTAATGGGACATGGACTGGCACTGCTCCAGACTGCACAGGTCAGAAATAAACTTTCTTCCTCTAAAGCTTTAAAGTAGTAAGTTATCCAGCCTTCCTACTGAAAATAATGATTATTTTGTTAGATAACACATTTTTCCCCATTCATCTGTCTTGTAATACACAAATATTTTATATATCTAATGGTACATGCCTTTTTAATACATGCTAGATGTTTCCAGAACTACCTTTTTAAGATGGATACATATGTATGTGTTCTGTATTTGTTTACCTCATTAATGTCAAGACTGAAAATACATTATTCTTGAGAATAGGTGTTCCCCTAGAGCTTCCTTTAGCTTAGGTTTCTTTGGGGGGGGTTGGGATTTTTTTTTTGCTTATGTACAGAGGATGAAGTTCTGGTAGTTCTAAATCAGACTTTACCTAACTGGATGCATTACTGTGCCATCTTTTATTGTGAGCCAAAGGAGCATCTGACTGATAACCATTCTGCTAAGGACCAAGAGTGAGGGAGCAGTGACTACATCAGGGAAGGGAGCAGGGAGCAGAGGGGTGCTCCAAGGCCAGAAGGGCCAGTGGCCTCAAACCCAAGGCCAGACCCAGAGTACATCAGTATGGTGAATCAAAAAAAAAAAGAGGAATGTCGTAACTGCTGGAATTGCATTGTATCATAAACATTAGGCATAATGTGACAAAGATCCCAGTATGAAGGAAAGAAAAGCCCTGTCAAAACTGCCACTAATGTATCAGTCTGCACTAGCGGTAGAGCATACCAGTTTAAGCTAGTGTATTTGAGGAACACAATATTTGACCCACGCTATTGCAATACCTCAAAAATACGACTTTTTAGCTAGAAATTAAAGATAACATTTTTGATTTTGTGTGAAATACATTGATCAAAATTTTTCTTGTTTTGTACACTAAAAAAGAGGACCTTAGCTATACACAGTTCAATGTTTCATTACATGTTTATTGAAAAAAAAACCCCTTTTTTCATTTCCTCACTAGTGATCAGCTGTGGAGATCCAGGTGCATTAGCAAATGGCATTCAGTTTGGAAATGATTTTACCTTTAATAAGACAGTCAGCTATCAGTGCAATCCAGGATATTTGATGGAGCCTGCCAGTTCATCTACCATGCGTTGTATAAAAGACAGCACTTGGAACCAAAGTAAACCAATTTGCAAAGGTGTGCCTTTGAATTTAAATAGTTTACAAATACTGTTTTGATATTATATGTGAAATCCACTAATCAGTGTCTTTATATATAAAAAATTGTCAAAATGTTCTCTGGGACAATTAACATGCAAATACAACTAAAACATTTACATAAGTATTTGTGTAAAATTTGTATTTATTTTGCACATATGCTGTGGTACAATATCAGTCAGAATAGCAACATTAATGACTGCAGTAGAACCAAATTGCTCTGCAATGAAGATTATCAGAGTGCTCAGTTTAAAATGCTAGGAATGAAGTACCCATTTTCCTTTTATCCCTTTTTTTTAGCCCTTTTATCTTGGATTAGATGGCCAAAATCTGTAAAGGGATCCTGAAAACCAACCTTTCTATAAAAGATTCCCGTGTTGCATTAGTGTAGTCATCACAAATAGCCAAAAAGCTGCTTCACATATAGCTAATTACAAGTGCTAACGTAAAGGTCATAGTGGGGATGAGGCTGAAAGGCAAATAAGGTAGCCTGGTGAAAATTGTTAGCACTACTACAGCAGCTCAGGGAGTAAATTTAACAGCCTACGGCATCTTCTGCTTATAAAAGGCCTACACTGCCAACTAATCTAGCACTGCTTTAAAGTGATGTCTGAGTCTAGCCTACTAATTAAATTTTGACATATGTATTTGACTGCATTTTCTGTTGTAAAAATCACTGACTGAGTCATTTTACAGTTGTGCTCTTTGTTGAAAGAACTGATGTGTAAATGTAAACTTGGTAATTCCAGATTTCATCATTTTGGGCACTCTTTCAGAAGCTGAAAAATATCAGAATACTTTTAGAGAGTCTTAGCCACTAATTACCAATAAAGTCAATGTCCATTTTGTGCTGAAAACCTTGGAAAATGAGTGGGTGAATGAACAAAGTCATATTAAGGGCTGTAAATAGTGCTGCAAAATTAGTTTAAAATAAAATGCAATTATTTAGAATTGTAGAATCACAGAAACATATTTATCAAAATAAATAATATTTATTGAACACTTTTACCTATCTCAGTAGCCTGTTGCCAGCAATAATCAGTAATGAATATGTAAGGAAGAGACTCAGAACTAGGTATGCTATATACTCTTCTGGCTTCCAGCAACCTAGAGCTCAGGGACTTCCTAAACCTAGAGGTGGTATTTTTGTATTTAAATTGGCTTTCTGTCTATTACATGCTTCTTTGTCAACACAGGAATGTTTTGTTGGAACTGAACAGCGTGAAATACTTTTTTTTTAGTTTCGAAAATATGAATAAATATTATGTTGCATTCTCCTAAACCCTGTAAAGTCTTGAAATTATAACTTTTCTTTTTGTGATACAGCTATTACCTGTGGCCCCCCTCCACCAGTACTTTACGGGAAAGTGGAAGGATCTGATTATCGCTGGGGTGCCAGTGTGAGTTACAGCTGTGCAGAAGGCTATCAGCTATCTAACACAGCTATTCTCTCCTGTGAGGGTCGAGGAATTTGGCGGGGAGACATCCCACAATGTTTGCGTAAGTTTTCAGGGTACAATTGTGTTGGGCTTCACCAAAGCTACAATCAGTTTTCTCAGGCTACAATCAGTTGTTTCAGGCTACAGATTCTCACCTTTTTAAAAAAAACTCAGCCAGATCAGGTGATATATGGACTACTGCAGGATTCTCCCTCCTTCTTCCAAAAAGCATACCTCATTATGAAATTGAGTGGTTGTGTCCTCTTAAGGTCATGGTCTTCTTTCCCCAACAGTCACCTACATCTTATTACCTAATTGGACCTGTCACCATTTGCCTTACTGATAATCTTTTTGAATGTTCTGAATTTGACTTGTAGTGAGCATGATTAAAATATTCGTGTATACTTTTCCTTTTTTCTTCCCTGTTTTCATTTCCAGTAACAGGTGAAAATAAGGATCCTAACCCTTAAGTTCATAGCCTTTCTCTCCTTTCTAAATTCTTTTCTCTTTCCTGAGGGCGAGTATATAGCCTCATATCTTGTTTGTATTTGTTTTTCAGCTTCTTCTAAATCTGTCAACTCACCTCTTTCAGTGCTTGAAATCTTATCAGGACTCTGACAAACATTTTTCCTTTTACTTAATTAGGGCAAAAATATCCAGCGTACTCATCTGAGGGTGACTGATGTGAAAACTGGATGCATTTTGAAGCATTACAATAAAACATTGTCTATTTTGAGATTACTTTGTCATCCAAATCTAATCAGCATTTAAGTGTCTCAATTAAAAGGTCTATTTTTCCAGGTTAAGTTTTATACTTATAATAACTATAACAGTGATGATTAATTTTAAATTGCTGTCAAGAATTTATCGGAGCTACAATTCTACACAGATAAATGAACATAGCATTTGTACTTATATTCAGTATGCCTAACTTGCACATAAAACAATGTAGAAGACTTCAGTTGAAGCATGTGCAGTATTTAATAACTTTTTTTTCCTTTCCTTTTTTATCTATTAGCTGTGTTTTGTGGTGATCCTGGTACTCCAGCAGAAGGACACCTCAATGGAAAAAGTTTCACCTACAGATCTGAAGTTAGCTTTCAGTGTAGACCCCCTTTCATTCTGATAGGCTCTTCAAGAAGATTCTGTCAAGCAGATGGTACTTGGAGTGGAATTCAGCCAACATGCATTGGTAATAACTGTCACTACTTATGCTGTTTCTACTGAGAATATTCTTGATAAACTATTACCCTATCATAAATCTAGCAGTTAGCTTTCCAAATATAGAAAACGTCTGTGTAATATAAAAAGAACTAGATAAATAAGGTTATATTTTGAGTACAAATTTTTAGGATAAACACAATCACATATGAAGTCATTTGTAAATTTACATGATTGCTTGTCTGCTGGAAATGCAGAATGTCAATAAGTGCAAGCACATAAATTTGTTCCATCTATTTTTAGAATCTTTTAGATACGCAGAAGACTTTGGCGTATTAAAGACTAGATTCTGTTACTGGAGAGTTAAAGACATTTGTCAGAATCAATCCTAAATCAAAAAGCTTTTTGGACTTTGTGAAAGTGGTTTGTACAGCTCAAAAGAGTGAAACATACTGTGTCTGATCTTTTGAAATTCTCATAAACTGCCAAGTATTATCAGTTTCTCATTGACTGATGTGCAACTGATAGGCTTTTAGCACGTTACATACTCAGACTAGCTGAGAGACCTGCTGGACACCTGTAACTCCCACTGACATCAGTATTTGATGCAGCTTGGGGCGACTTGTTAGAGAAAATTATTTTGGTGTTATAATAGAAAAATCCTTGTTGATATTTCTAAACAAACACATTCAGATATAGACTGTAGCCCATTTATGTATTTTGGTGTGGCTGAGATATTGGCTATGTGGAAGAGCTGGGGTGGGCACTCTGGGAAAAGGTGGCAAACATGATTGTTGAAAGCAGCCTGTATTTGTAAATTAAGACATTAAGACTCAATATAATTTTTTAATGTGAATTCAAAATTCCTTCTGTCCATAGTTTTTATGAACTGGGAAATCCATCTTACATCTACTTTTTGTAACAAAGGCAAGAAAGTTTACAAAAGCTAAATCTCAGGTCTATTGTGAAGAATCAAATTTGAAAACGTATTTGTCTATTTATATTTTCTAGAGCATAATATAGAAGTACATGAAAAATTATACATCAAAGACATAAGCTTTTCTTTTACATCATATTTTTTATGTTATTGTAAAAAGAAAATATTAGACCATCTAAAATATTTACAGATAACATTGTTAAGCAATTTGAAAATTAAGATCCGTGAACAATACCTAGAATTATGCCTAGCAGTACCATATGATGGCACATGATGGCGAGCTTTTCTATATCTGGATATTCATAATTTCCTTAAAATACTTTGAGAAGTCTTCCTTTTTTTCCCCACTGTTTCTTCAGATGAGACATATCTTAAAAAGTCAATTCAGCTTCATGTGTCTATTATTTGCAATGGCTTTCCAGCTGATGATAATTTGTAAAAAGTTATGGAGCTGTTCAAGCATCTCAAGGTCAGGAGTGTTTTTATTCTCGCACATTAGGTCAACATCCACCTAAGTTTTGAAGCCTTTGGTAAATATCAGTCCAGTTGAATTGTTATGCTCTACTGATGGTCAACATTGAAAATGGAAGTTGGCCAAGAGTGAAATGACATGTCACATTATTGTGATAAGTTCAGTTTTCCTTCTGTAGAAAACTAAAAATGCTGACAGATGAAATATAGTCCCGGGTTGCGTTCTTTGTAATGCAGTGTCAGCACAAAAGCAGACTTGGTTGCCAAGAGAGAATCACATAGCAAAGATCCATCAGATCAAGTCCTGTGCTGTCTACCTGGTGGATGTGACTGGGCAACCCCAAAGCAAATAAACCATCAGAATGTGAAGTGGACATCACTAAATCAAAGATAGTTTCAGGCTGCTTTAAATTACACGCATGAAACTGTTCATCGTATAATTATATGGTTCTTATATTATATAGTTATACCTTGTTGGCGTACCTTTTTTTGTGGGGGGATTGTCTTTTCATTCACCATCAACTGAGGTAGTAGTCCATTTGAAACTTTTGTTTTCTTGGTGACATAGAAAAAATTCTATGATAAAATTAAGTATTTTACTTGGTATAAGAAAACAGGTTGGGTTTGTGTTTAGTTTTTTTTGGGGGGTTGGGTTTTTTTTTTTTGGAAATCTACCTTAATCATTCAGCTGTTCATTGGGAAAGAAGAGAAGATGATTACCCTATATGTTCCATCTGCATTGTGAATAGTGGGATATACTATGTATTCAAAAAGGTTTAAAAGGATAAGCTTAGCAAAAATTAATGCAATCTTAACTCTACTGTCTACACTGCCAAAGATACCGGCAAAAAATACCCTTAAATAATGGCAATGTACTGAAACAAAGCACTGTGATGTATCTTGGAAATTTAATTGGAAATACAAATTTAATATATAGAAATACACACATTCCATTAAAAATTCAATTCTTGTTGTCACTTGACATTGATGAAATGACTTGATCTTTGCAAACAGTTTTAGACTATTTTTTCCATGCCATAATAACATCTGTTGTGTTTCATATTTTACATTAGATCCAGCTCACAATACATGTACAGATCCTGGTACTCCACATTTTGGAATACAAAACAGTTCCAGAGGTTATGAGGTAATTCTTATATTTATTAGCTTTTTAAAATGAAGATGCATTTAATAATTACAAATATAATAAATTATCTGTAGACTTAAATGTCTGAGGTAAACCTTAGGAAATTTCTGCTCCTTTTTAATAAAAACTCATGCTTCATTCCAAGCTTTTTTTTTAACATACAGCTTAAAGAAAGAACTCCTAACCTTGCAATATATCATGTGTTCAATCCTTTAGGAGACTTCAGTAAAGAGGTCTATTTATAAATTGATTACCTAATATGATATGACATGATATAATTAATTTGCTTTATGATCATAATTCTTTCATACATTGATGAATAGCCAGTAAATACCTAACAACCAAAGACCTGTCTGATCCAAAGGCCACGTAGTCCTTGACCAAAAAGTCAGCAAGTAGCTTTACTAAATGAACAATTCGTGTTACATTTTATTCAGTCAGAGAAGATAAAATTATTCTGTATGTTGGATCCAGGTTCTCTGTGAAGAATGTCCTTTCTATAATTTCCAAATTCCTCACAGGTTGCTAGTTTACCAAATGACAGTCAGAAAAGTGACTGAGGAAATAAAAGTAGATGCAGCTATGACCAATCCACAGTCATTATATAGACTGATTAACCTCATGTGGATATATCCTTCAGGTATAAATACTTGTGACTGGAATCTAAAATATGTTCTGTTTCGGTTTCCTGCTTATTTTTGAACCTAAGGCACTGTGCCACATGGTATTTCGATCAAGTTAGTAGAACTGTCCTTCAAAAAATCCTTTCTGTAAGTTCCTCTGGTTATTTGTACTCTCCCTCTCCTGCAATTGTGCTGCCTGTTTTTGCTGTGGCTGTCAGCTCTTTTCTTCACCTTCTGCTCCTGCCTGGCTGACGGATGCCCAGGCACTTCTCCCCTAGCCACATCTTCTGGCCTCACTCCTGAGGTGGTTCTTCTTCTAGTAATAGGTTCAGTTGCCTTTCTGTCGTCGCATCTTGACCCTATACCTGTCCCCATCATCACTTCAAAAGCAACTTTAATTTTTGCATCTAATTTGATCAGGGGTTTGGTTTTTTTTTATCTCCCCCTTTCACCTGCCTCACAAGTTGCCTTTAATATCAGAATTGTACTGGCCAATTCGCTGTTCTCATGTCTGTTGAACATGACGGCTAATTTTCCCTTCTCTTTCACCTCACTCTAGAGGCAATAGTAGGTCTTCACCTGTTCTGTATTTAGTCTTTCTCAAGTATGTGTGTGGTGGGTTGACCCTGGCTAGACACCAGGTGCCCACCAAAGCCACTCTATCACTCCCCCTCCTCAGCTGGACAGGGGAGAGAAAATATAACGAAAGGCACGTGGGTCGAGATAAGGACACGGAGAGATTATTCACCAATTACCATCACAGGCAAAACAAATGAATTAGGGAAAAAATTAATTTAATTTATTACCAATCAAAACAGAGTAAGATAATGAGAAAAACTAAATCTTAAAACACCTTCCCCCCACCCTTCCCTTCTTCCTGGGCTTAACTTCACTCCCAAATTATCTAGCTCCTCCCCCCGAGCAGCACAGGGAGATGGGGAATGGGGGTTGCTGTTAGTTCATCAGATGATGTTTCTGCTGCTCCTTCTTCACTGACCTTGGTGTTTGCATAGTTGTTTCTCTCACATATTCTCAGTTCTCTCTTCTGACTGCTGCAGTTGCTGTTGCACAGGTTTTTTTCCCCTTCTTAAACAAGTTATCCCAGAGGCACCATGACCGTCGCTGATGGGCTCGGCCTTGGCCAGCGGCGGGTCTGTCTTGGAGCCAGCTGGCATTGGCTCCTTTGGACATGGGGGAAGCTTCTAGCAGCTTCTCACAGAAGCCACCCCTGTAGTCTCCCTGCTACCAAAATCTTGCCACGCAAAACCAATACAATGTGCTTTCACTGTCAGATCACTATCTGGTACAACAAGATGTAGACTTCTCTCCATTTACTAGTGTATATGTGATTAGTATTATTAGTATTACTAGTATTATTAGTATATTGGTATATGTGATTAGTAGTTCTTCCTGTTTGTATGACTTAGCCAGGCTTCGAGAAATTGGTTTTAACAGTCTTTCCTCATTTCAGAAAGGTGTCATGACAGGCAGCAGTCCTTTGAAGAGCTTTCCCCTACCAGCATCCTATCTTGCCCCATTCATTTTGTGCCTTTTGTGCTTCACTGTGCTGTGACTGTTACAAATGCCTCCAAAGCTTTTCATCCAAGTATTATACAAAGAGTGCATTGCTTTTATTTTTACTTTTACCTGTAAAATGAGAAAGAAATATAATTCTGTAACTACCTTGAACCTAGACATTATTTTTTTTCCTTGGTCTTTTGGATCAGTGAGGAAATATTTGCAGCTTGTCATTACTTACTGGTGCCAGAATTGGCAATTTCACAAGAAGTAAGATGACTTAGAGTCAAGACCAGCTACATTCTGTTCTGGTCTTTGCTGCAGACATGCTGTGTGTTCTTGTCAAGATAAAGAGATGCATATGTTTAAAAATGGTTATAAATAGATAAGTCTACAAAGCCATAGTGGTAATTTGACCTTTAAAAATACCAGTGAATTTCCCAAGCCACTTCAGGAAGAAATGGTGCTTCATTTCCTGAACATCTATCATGATAATCTGTTTTTATGTAACTGAGTATATAGTTAACAAGTAGGCACTTTTGAAGATAACTGCCCATTTTTAATGTCTGTTGAAGTCCTTCTGTGAGTTTGCAGTGTAGAGCTATCTGCATTTATATACCTGCAAGCTACTTTATTAATACACATTGATCACTAGTCATTTGTAACTTACTCGCTCTTGTCCATGTGATATGTCACTTTATAATTAAGTAAGATAATTTTAAATAATACTAATTTATGTGCAGGTTTTTTTCATTTCATCCAATCATATTTATGGCCAAGATGTTCTATCTCAAATGAAAACAATGTTTTACTGGTCAGTCCTGCATCCTTAAATATCTTGGCCTGGAGTTGTATTCTGGTTACTTTTATCAATACCATCAATAAGTGCATTTTACTAGAACTTTCCACACAATCTGTCTCTTGTATGTTAGGAAAATTCTTCATCACTTGACAGTTTTCATGCTTTTCTATTCTCAGCAGAATTCTAAAGAGAGTTTTCTCAGTTACTTTACCTTTTGTTCTGAGAAAGGTCATATTACAGTTGACCATAGGAAGGTTTTCCATAACATCACTCTGCTAGTTGAACATCTCACATAAAACTCAGGTAGTTTATAGTAACAAATGCAGTGTAAGGAATTGTGGTCTGGAGTTTTCTCTAGTGAATTTATTTGTGGATGGAACAGTTCTTCATAGGTTTTTTATTTTTCCTTTTTCCTCTTAAAAAACATTTTTAGTTGACCAAGTGACACAATGAGAAACCTTTGAAACAGACTTTATGGTCAAGTTCTATTGAAATACATGCAGTGATGTACAGGAAAGAGACACATCATAGTCATCTAGTTTTCTTCTGTCATGCTGACAAACTAATAAGCTGAAATATATGAGTGTCATTCTTTTCCATGTGCACGGCCTTGTCAATATTTTTTCACTTACTGCTTTCAAATAAGGTTAAAAAAGATCAACCGTGGAAACTTTTCATCTCATAAAAAAAAGTTTCACTCTAGAAACTGTAAAAAGAGGACATTTTTATTTTTTAAAAAATCTCTCTCGTAGCTTATTCGCTGTCTTGATATCTGACTACACATGATGGATACCTCTTTTATCTAACATTCTGTTTTGATCCTTAGGTTGGGAGCACAGTCTTTTTCAGATGCAGAAAAGGTTATCATATTCAGGGATCTACCACCCGTTCTTGTCTTGCTAACTTAACTTGGAGTGGCATACAGTCTGAATGCATTCGTAAGTTTCGTTTCTTATCCAATGAGATAGAATATTGTGCAATTTTAAAAGATTTACAAAGTGATGCATGTGGAAATTCATAGTAAATTATATGCTATAAAAAAGCAAGTTTATTTAAAACAGTATTTTTAAATGTTTTTTGTTTCCTATTCCAAGACCAAAGATGTATTTGGGATATTAATTTGAAATAAGATTTTTCAGATTTTTTTCATGAAGTTCACAATAATTCCATCAGTTTTACTCAAAAATGTTTGTCCTCATTAACCCACTGCATTAGCTGCATTAAATTAATCTAGGGGTTTTGTGTGTGTTGGATTAATACAGAACAGAAGGTGGCCTGAAGTATGTATGGGGTTAATTTGTTGGCTAGTATTTTGTGAATGATAAACTAGAACTCAGCAAAATTCATCTTTTCTGGGCTATGCATGGGTATGCAAATTATTAGTGTATTTATAGTTCTGTATGGATTGGAGGATATCAAATAACTATTGTATTAAAATATACTGATCTAAGGTAACAGTAATTCATTAGAATCACCTTAGATTCTTATCCTATTTCAAATTATCTTTGGGTTGTTATAAATGAACACCATGGAGTACAGAGAAAGAAGCATACTGAGCAACTATATCTGTTATAATCAATGTATTATGACAAAGCCTTCCTATGGAACCTTTATTTCAATTAGAATTTATAATGAATTTATTTAGCACAATAACCACTCTGTAATTTTCAAGGCTCTGTAAAACATTGAGTGGAAGCAAGGCTCGAAGCTGTGACAGTGCAATAATTCACAGGACCAATCATTGCACCATGTACAATGGCCTGTGCTTCCCTTCATTTTAACTCTTTTCTGTTTGCTATCATGATTTAATTTTGGTGTATTGTTTAAAAATATGTGATACTATAATTTCCATCTTCCCGCAATAATATATGTATATACTCAGAGTGTTACTTTTACAAGTAATAGCTACTTGATATTTCTAAAAGGTGTACAAAGTTTACACAATGAAAGGGAATAACTTGGCACACATTTATTTCAAATTACGTACTCTAATGCTATGGAAACTGTTTACAACCACTTTTTCTAACTCTAAAAAAACCTTTGCAGCTCATGCTTGTAGGCAGCCAGAGACGCCGGCACATGTAGATGTGAAAGCAATAGATCTTCCTACTTTAGGGTATACTTTGGTATATACCTGTCAGCCAGGATTTTTTCTTGCTGGTGGATCAGAGCATCGGACATGTAAACCAGATATGAAATGGACAGGAAAATCACCTATTTGTAAAAGTAAGTCATCACTCAAGTGATATGTTGGGCCCTACTTGATTGGATTTCATTTCCCCTGACATTTTTATTTTATATAGAATGATTAAATTTTTTCCCTTGCTATTTAAAAACGCATATGACACAACAGCTTTTACTTTGTGAAAGAAACAGTAAGAAAATCAAAGTGAGCATAGCATCTAGAACTTGTAGAGGAAAACATTTGGATATCTGTGTGTAGATGCACAGGCACACATATATAAGTTTACCCCTAACAACAGTAAACAAAACCTAAACAATATAAAGTATTAGTTTTAACTATATTTATCTTTATGTCACAGTTTTAAAGAGTATTTCAATGTATTCAGTGTTTAATGTATGAATTTCTATTAGGAACAAAGAAAGTTATTTCATAGCTTGGCTTTTATATTAATTCAGGTATGCTTTTTGTCTAAGAAAATATTCTAAAATAAAAGTTAACAATAAAATAAAAAAATAAATACATCTTTCACCAGATTCCAGTTTTATTTATATCCATGTAAATTTCATATAGTTTTGCTGGAGTAGCTCTAAGTATATAGTTATGAGGGTTAAATTTGCTCTTCACATGTCAATAAACATGGCCATAAGTTCCCAATCAGAAAAATAAAACAAAACTATATTTAGAATATGAATAAAGGAAAAATAGTCAGATGGCATGGGAAAGACGTTTTCAACAAAGTTTTTAATTCTAAAATGTCAAACAATGCTAAATAGATTTGATGTTTGAACAATATTTGATTTTTCATTAATGTATGGCTAGACTTCTTTGTTTCAACATTGTCAAGACACGTATCTACACATAAAATTTTATCTTCTTATTCTAGTTCCCTAAAGGGTGATTTTTCTTGGGTACTATATAAGTAATAATTTGAGATAATGTTCTTATAGGATTTTTGTTAATTTTCTTTTTTTTTTAATTGAAGATAAAATACAGAAAAGGTTTCTATAAGCAAGAATTCTTTTTTTTTATTGGTTTACAGTCTTTAGGTATAATACTCCTTGAGTACCCCACATTCTTTGTGCTTTCTTACCATTTGATCAGTCTAATCAGTAAATTTCTGCTCCTAAAGAAAAAAAAAACCATGTAAGACCAAATATTTCTATGGGACATTAACCTTTTTGAAGTGACTAATGATATGAGACCAGAACTTGATCTGGGGTCAATGGACATAACTCTGCTGAGTGTGCCAGAAATATAGCAAATTACACTGGCTGTGACACTTTCCCATGATATCTGATCTTGTCATGTTAATTCAGCTATCTGGCTTTTGCTGGTTTGTGTCATAAATGTATCATATCAGTCTTTATTAACACAATTTTTACTATATTTAATATATTATTATTCATAATTAGATATAGTATTTGTCCCCTCTATAAGGCTCTCTTTTATAGCACTGGGACTGATATAAAAATTTAGGCCTAAATGTATGAAATTGGATAGCCAGATAACTTTCCACAGTAAAAATGTTGTTTACCTAAATTATTTTCTGATAGTTTTGTGTAATTATATAGGTTTGAACATGCAAAGTATTCAAGACCAGTTGTTTCTCTTTTAAATATGGGTCTATTGGATAAGACATGATTGCATCCATCAGGCATTGTTTTCACATTCTTTTAAAAAAAAAATGTTCATGAAAATGATAATTTGTCTTTTTACTTGTAGGTAAAGGAGTGAGAGAAGTTAATGAAACAATAACTAAAACTCCAGGTTTGTATACAAGAAGAGTTTTAGATCTAAATAAATTAAATTGATTTACACCCTAGATTGTTATGGATAATAAAACTATTTCCAATTTTTAACTTTTTATTACTCATTTCAAAGGAATAAAAATGTTGAGGTCTTTCATAATAACAGGTGCTATGTAAAACCTATTCTATGAAACTCT